TAAAGGTAATGATTTGGGGTAATCATTCCTAGTTTGTGTGTGTGTAAAGTTATTCCCATGCAAGAGTTTCAATTATTGACGGATGTCAACTCTCCTAAAGTTCATGTGGGATGTTAGATATATGATGTCACGTGTCAATTATTTCTATTTGGGATTATGCAGGTAATGATTGATGTTTTTGTATATCCTTAGAGAGACCTTCGAGAGACCTCCGAGGTTTGGACTCTGTGTTCCATGGTCTAAATTATATCCATTAGTAACCCATTGATTCCCTATAATCCCTTGGATTAATTGGGATTTTTTTTTAGTTTGGTTCCCTCGAATCTCGTCTTTGACAATTATAATGATTAGCTTTCTGAATTTTTATTCCGTTTTATTTTCTTCTTTATGCATGTCGAGCCTATTCTGTTATATAGTGATAACGAGCTAGAGAATGTTGTTAGCTCATACAACTCCCCTAGAGCACTCTAGTAAGTTTTCCCTTAAAACTCTCGAATTTAGGTGTTTGCTTTTAGAAAGTTCTCCTAAGGAGATTGTAGAAGCGATTTATAAGCACTGAGGCTCTATCGTTCCTTCTGTTGTCAATGTTATGATTGATAGAGGTAGCGAGGACATAGTGGTGGGTTCGTTTGATTCAGACACAGATTCAAAGGGAACTAAATCTACGGGTCAAGGGGAAGAAGGCTCTAAATGGTCTCCCCCCCCCCCTATCTTTTGATAGGTATTCCCTTTAGGAGGCTCATGAAATTGAGTGTTGATATACTGAGCACACTATAGGATCTGTGAGACGTCGGTATAATTGACCTGATTTCGTAAAAGTGAGGTTACCCATTATCCATGAAAAGGCTTGTACCCTTCACATAGTGAGGTTTGTTTTCTTGAGTCAGCCCTTTAAGGCGGTCTTCAATTCCCAATTCCTTTTTTTCATTAGGTCTATGTTGTTCTAGTTGGGTCTGCCCTCTTATCAGTTGGTTCCTAATGCCTAGAAGACCCTTACTGGTCTGATGGCCTTATGGAGATTGAGTAGTGGGAGACATCACTCAATTCCTTTAGAGGAGTTTGTTTACTACTATAAAGTAAAAGAATGTACCTAGAAGAGATATTCTGTTATATAGTGACAACGAGCTAGAGAATGTTGTTAGCTCATACAACTCCCCCAGAGCCCTCTAATAAGCTTTCCCTTGAAACTCTCGAATTTAGGTGTTTGCTTTTAGAAAGTTCTCCTAAGGAGATTGTAGAAGCGATTTAGAAGCACTGAGGCTCTGTCGTTCCTTCTGTTGTCAATGTTATGATTGATAGAGGTAGCGAGGACATAGTGGTGGGTTTGTTTGATTCAGACGCAGATTCAAAGCGAACTGAATCTACGGGTCAAGGGGAAGAAGGCTCTAAATGGTTTTCCCCCCCCCCCATCATTTGATAGGTATTCCCTTTGGGAGGCCCATGAAATTGAGTGTTGATCAACTGAGTACACTATAGGATCTGTGAGACGTCAGTATAATTGACCTGATTTCGTGAAAAGTGAGGTTACCCATTATCCATGAAAAGGCTTGTACCCTTCACACAGTGAGGTTTGTTTTCTTGAGTCAGCCCTTTAAGGCGGTCTTCAATTCCCAATTCCTTTTTTTCATTAGGTCTATGTTGTTCTAGTTGGGTCTGCCCTCTTATCAGTTGGTTCCTAATGCCTAGAAGACCCTTACTGGTCTGATGGCCTTATGGAGATTGAGTAGTGGGAGACATCACTCAATTCCTTTAGAGGAGTTTGTTTACTACTATAAAGTAAAAGAATGTACCTAGAAGAGATATTCTGTTATATAGTGACAACGAGCTAGAGAATGTTGTTAGCTCATACAACTCCCCCAGAGCCCTCTAATAAGCTTTCCCTTGAAACTCTCGAATTTAGGTGTTTGCTTTTAGAAAGTTCTCCTAAGGAGATTGTAGAAGCGATTTATAAGCACTGAGGCTCTATCGTTCCTTCTGTTGTCAATGTTATGATTGATAGAGGTAGCGAGGACATAGTGGTGGGTTCGTTTGATTCAGACACAGATTCAAAGGGAACTAAATCTACGGGTCAAGGGGAAGAAGGCTCTAAATGGTCTCCCCCCCCCCCTATCTTTTGATAGGTATTCCCTTTAGGAGGCTCATGAAATTGAGTGTTGATATACTGAGCACACTATAGGATCTGTGAGACGTCGGTATAATTGACCTGATTTCGTAAAAGTGAGGTTACCCATTATCCATGAAAAGGCTTGTACCCTTCACATAGTGAGGTTTGTTTTCTTGAGTCAGCCCTTTAAGGCGGTCTTCAATTCCCAATTCCTTTTTTTCATTAGGTCTATGTTGTTCTAGTTGGGTCTGCCCTCTTATCAGTTGGTTCCTAATGCCTAGAAGACCCTTACTGGTCTGATGGCCTTATGGAGATTGAGTAGTGGGAGACATCACTCAATTCCTTTAGAGGAGTTTGTTTACTACTATAAAGTAAAAGAATGTACCTAGAAGAGATATTCTGTTATATAGTGACAACGAGCTAGAGAATGTTGTTAGCTCATACAACTCCCCCAGAGCCCTCTAATAAGCTTTCCCTTGAAACTCTCGAATTTAGGTGTTTGCTTTTAGAAAGTTCTCCTAAGGAGATTGTAGAAGCGATTTAGAAGCACTGAGGCTCTGTCGTTCCTTCTGTTGTCAATGTTATGATTGATAGAGGTAGCGAGGACATAGTGGTGGGTTTGTTTGATTCAGACGCAGATTCAAAGCGAACTGAATCTACGGGTCAAGGGGAAGAAGGCTCTAAATGGTCTTTCCCCCCCCCCCCATCATTTGATAGGTATTCCCTTTGGGAGGCCCATGAAATTGAGTGTTGATCAACTGAGTACACTATAGGATCTGTGAGACGTCAGTATAATTGACCTGATTTCGTGAAAAGTGAGGTTACCCATTATCCATGAAAAGGCTTGTACCCTTCACACAGTGAGGTTTGTTTTCTTGAGTCAGCCCTTTAAGGCGGTCTTCAATTCCCAATTCCTTTTTTTCATTAAGTCTATATTGTCCTGGTTGGGTCTGCCCTCTTATTAGTTGGTTCCTAATGCCTAGAAGACCCTTACTGGTCTGATGGCCTTATGGAGATTGAGTAGTGGGGGACGTCACTCAATTCCTTTAGAGGAGTTTGTTTACTACTATAAAGTAAAAGAATGTACCTAGAAGAGATATTTTTATCTGAGTACCCATCCAGCGATAGCTAAGTTTGTGTTAGGTCTCCCAAATTCAAAGGTCTTGGTATTTATTATCTAGAGATTGAGAGTTCAGCTTAGAAGGTACAGTCTCGAGATCGTGCTTTAGTGCCTAGAACATGGAGCATCTCAGTCCCTTCAGGGGGGTGGCTTAAGGCAATTGGAGGCTTAAAGTTAAAATATTAAATGAGATTTTTTTTATTTTTAATATTAATTTTGTAAAAAAATTAATTTATTTTCAATTTATTATATGAGAGAGAGACTAAAGAAGGACGTACTAGTGTTACTGAAAAAAGTATTTTAACTTTTATTTTTGATTTTTTATCAGAAAGAGAGTTTAATTTTAACTTTTTTTTAATGTTTTGTACTAATTTTTAGAGAGAGAGAAAGTATGTGTAAATATGAGTTGACTTTAGAGTACTTTTTATTTTTCAACTCATGATTTTTAGATTTTTAATATTATGAATTGAATCATGGACTAAAATTATTACAATAAAAATATTGATTATACTTAATATTTTGGAACCTTTTTTTTAGGGTTTAAAATTTGAAAGATTTATTTTTTTTTATGGATTAGTAATGGGGCTTTTAAAATATTGGGGGCCTAAAACCCATGCTTTCTGTTTTAATGGTGTTGAGCCGGCCTCGACTCCCTACTGGTGAGTTCCCTCTTCTGGGTTTTTTTTTGTTTGTAATTTCGTTATCCTCTTTTGTGTGTGTAAAACTATTCCTATACAAGAGATTTGGTTACTGATGTTTGACATTTTTGAATATTCTTAAAGAAACCGAGGAGGGACTTTCGAGATCTGAATTCTGTGTCCCGTAGTCTACATTATATCCATCAGTTTGTAATCGTAAATCTTATCAAAAGAAAGAGCAAGAAGATACAGGGAAAGATTCAGTCGAAAACGGCTGAGCTGCTTTTTAACGAAGCTGTGAAATGCAATCAAAATTTTCATTGATTGATAGGCGCAGCTAAATTACCTACGTCACCACGTTTTCCTCCTTAGCCCAATGGCCGCATTCAGCAAGATCAAGATCAAGATCAAGATCCAGATCCTGCCCCTTTTGCCTTTTGTACCAAAATAGAAAACAACTTCGGCATATATCCTGGTACGGATTTGAATAACTTATTGTTAGTAGAAGTGGTAATTGTGTCGTGTTTAGTCATATTTAAGTTAGAGTAGTTTGAATTTTTTGTCTATTACTAATCAATTGTGACTTGATTCATTCAATTAATCGTGTTAAATATCTTGACATTAATTCAATCATTTTATTATGGTATTATGTTTGAATTGACAATAATCACTAGTGAATTAAAATTTTAAAATTAAGAGGTCATCTCTCAACCAATCCTATTACTCATAACTTTTCCATAAACTAATAATTCATGTACATCACAAAATGACATTTCATTTATAGAATACTAATTAAATATTAATCATCTTAGTTTTTGAATTATTTATTATATTTCCCACTAACCCAACCTATTTATTAGTCAAGCCAGCTAATCTTATCATTTTTAAATTCATGCCTAGAAATAAACAACCCTAACTTACTAATTTTGTCTCAAATTCAGTCATATTTTTATGCCATTGAAAATTGACACCCATAATTCCTAGATTCTCTCATCCAGAAAGACAAATCCCCTTATCTCAAGCCAACACTCCATGGCATTCTTATTACCACATGGAGATCGTCACAGAAAAAACCTCTTGAGGCCTCAAGATGCTAAATTAGCTATATAATATTTTCACCTAGAGATAATAACAATAAAAGCGAGGCTTGCATAGACAGGAAGGGCACTCCAAAAATTTTCTTCAAACTAGAAATTCAAGTACCTATGATATACTAAAAATGGCAACAAAAAAGTTTTGGTAGTTACTTAAGGCAGTACATTATGAATATAAGATGAAATGTGTCATTTCACCAAAAAGGCTAACACGGAATTATATCCAGCAGTGTTTTCAGAAAAATAACACGTCCAACTCAAGTCCATTAGGCAAATAACATTTAAAACAGGCAACCAAATCTTCCTTCCTATTGCACGCCGTCACTACTTGATGTATTGAGAGACCCACTTGAAGCCGTCTCCATAACCCATTTTGCGGACAATGCTGCACATGAACACCTCAAGTGGACGGACACTTGAGTCTGCCAGATTTACCTTCCCCTTGCCGGTGGTGATGCCAGTCAGGCCCATGTGGTAGCGCAACTCATCTTCCGAAGCAGCATAAGGGATGTCAATCTTGTTGCCCAAAATCAGAAAAGGAACATTTGCTAAGGACTCATCAGAGAGGAGAGCATCCAGCTCTTTTTTTGACTCTGCAAACCTTTCCTTGTCGTAAGCATCCACCAGGTAAACAACTGCATCCACCTTCATATTCAAGAATTGCATGTGATGTTATAGATACACCCTCAATTTAAAGGCTAGTATAACTTCAATGAAAAACGGTAGCACATGTTCCAACAATATAATTATTTGTCCTATGTCTCATCGGATGATAAGACCAGCAATAGCAAAACACAAATTCCAAGTTGTTGCCAAGGAAGGTACTACAACGGAAACCGACATTCACGATTCCATGGCTGTTATCATTACCAAATCACTGAAACTTATCTGCCATTAGTTTTGCTCCCCTTTTAACCCTCAGGAAACCGCGGGTGAATAGCAAATGCCTCAAAAACAAGCAAACATCAAAATTCCATCCACGTGAACAATCATAAGAACTGAGTACGTCAATCAATTACCCAACACAATGAAATGCAAGTGTAATATCAATCGGTCAAAACTTTTCCATTATCTCAACGTCATTACTGCCAAAAAAGTAATCTAATAAGAAAAATAGCTAGGGCAAAGCATGAAGAATTAGAACAAAGTATTATATGTCCAAAAGGAAACAAAAAAGGAAAGATTAGATATCACAATTTTAAAATGCAAATTCATTTCATGTAAATAAGGGAAAAAACAAAGACAATTTTTTACTTTCCAATACAAAGGCAGACATTGTTACTACAGGAGACAAACATTGTGATGGTTCAAATAGGTCATTCATCTTCTATACAAACCTTGAGTGGCAATGTGACCACTTCCAATTCTAAATCAGTCTAGTGCACAAGTTCAAAACAAAGTCTTCCATTGTAAATCAACTTCACAAATATCTCAGATAGTTTTGTCAGGCATCTCATTTTGCTGTATGGTCCCATCAAAATCTTTAACCTGGACATCTTTACTTTCTGAAGCACGCCCAGATATTGTGTTACAATAGAAGACAAAGGTTGTGAATTGTTATGGTCCATAAGAGGCCAAACTAACACATTTTAATTTCAGATTGTTAATTCAAGAGAAAATGGAGCTCTCCACCTTCTATTCTATATCGAGTGGCATCCCACCCATTTTAAAGTCTAAAGCCATCTTCTTATCAAAAAGACTCTAGCAAGCAGGCAAAGTGTTCATTGTTAATAACTTCATAAAGATTTAATTTAGTCTTGTCTGGTATGTCTTTATGCTGTATGGTCCTCATTTCAATATTTTGCAGAGAAGAACTACAAAAATTGGACCTTAAATAAATTAGTGTCAGTGTTAAGGCAATTCAATATACTTAGTTTAGACTTGCCTACAAAAGTTTTTAGTATGAGGATCTCAATTGGTGCTTGCAACCTGAAAATGTAAAAGCCCTCCATTTACTTCAGTTGAGTCATTGTATGCCATCCACATATTTTGTGCCAAAATATAAATCACAAACATTTGCCCCAAATAATTAGCAGGAATGATGCCATTAAAGTGCTTTCAAAAACTGGAGGAGCCCATTCCTAGGTAAGAAAAGATTTCTCACTAATACAAACAAGGTAAGACTAATTTAAACTGCATGTATATGGTGAGGTACTAGTAAAACACCTCCTGGAAAAACAACAGGTGTCATCAGCGAACTCCCATGTCAATGTATGCCTCCCATGAATCAAACAAACTCTGAAATGCTTATTTGGGATTATGAAGGCAAGACAAACATCCTACACATTTAAAGAGGTGCATAATCCAATATTAATCAGTTGACAAGTAAACGGAACAGTTGAGACTTGAGAAATCGTTGGGCGAGCACAGCTGAAAAAATGAGGGGACCAACCTTACTCTAGGCTGGGCAGATTTCTTTTTCTTGACAAATTTATAATTGAAGATACAAATAAACAAAAATATATTCAGGTAAAAAAGATTCTTCTTGCAATTAGACAAGACTTTCCTGTACACATCATATCAACTATAACGTCAGGTCTATAGGTTAACGAAACATTCCTGCAAAACATCATATCATATTTGAAGAAGTTACCATCCAGGGAAAAATCATTGAATAAGTTTTACACTCATAAGAATATCAGTTATAAACATGGAGTTATAGCAAAGTCTAGGAATAGAGGCTAAAAATGTAATGGCACCATTGTGAGATGGCAGCAACCAAAAATACCAATGCTAAAATTTCATTCTAAAGCACAAATTTTAAACAAGCCGCCACCATAAACAAAACAATATCTGAAAACTGTAAAGCAAGAAAATACAGAAAATAGTTTGAATCCACCAACAAACAAAGCCACCATCCGTTAAATCTTCTATTCTTCAACCAAATAATCTATTCAATTCCCACATTCGTTCTAAAAATTTAATAAAGATCTTTACTACGATCACAATACTGCAAGCAAAACCGAGTTCAAATGAAGGAGAAAAACTACCTTGGCATAGTAATCTTTCCAAACTCTACGGGCAATCTGATGTCCTCCCAAATCAAAAGCCTTAAACTTGATTTTTCCAATACTCAACTCCTCAGATGTTGGGTACTGAGTTGGCTGGTGTTGAACCAATCTCTGCAAAATTCAAAGGGCTTCGATCTTAGATTCACTACATACTCGGACCCAAAAAATAATAATAATAAAGACAAAAATCTCTACTCAACAGACCCTAATTCAACTACTTCAGCTTTTTTACGTAAATTTATCTAGGCAAGAAATGGTAGAAAACAATTCAAATCAACAATTTTATCATAAATTTCTCAAGTAGATTAAAATAAATCACCAACTAACTTCACCAAAAGCATGGCTTTGTATCTTGACTGATAATTTCTTCCATCAACAATAACAGAGAAAATGAAAACACTAAAAATCATACATCAAATGAACGAATCCTCTATACAAAACTAAACCCATTAATATAATAAACCAAAAGCTATTTTTCTTCTATTTTCCTGAGATCTCTCAAGATCCAAAGAGAACAGAAAAAACGTCGTCTTTCAACAAACCTCGTCTTTCAACATATGAAGCAACGTGGTTTTGCCGGCATTATCGAGGCCCAAGAACAAAATCTTAGCCTCCTTCTGCCACAGCCCCAGAGATGCCAGAACTCCATAGAACCAATCGACCAAAAACATGATTCTTGAACTAGTATCAGATTTAATCTACCCTCCGATCCAATCGATTGACCTCCTCAAAATTACTCGAAAAGCGATCCGATCAATAGATCGATCGACCTACCAACACCAAGGTTCACAACCTCCACACCAAGGTTCACAACCTCCAGCCTAATTCACCAACATAATCCTTCTCACGCTCATTTCTTAGAAAGAGAAAGTGCGTATAAATAGCAAACCCTAGAGAGCGAAAGAGCTCGGCACTGTGGAATCAATGACACTGTCTCTCGCTCTTATTGCCTATATATATTTGATGAATGACATTTTATACCCTCAAAGCTCCTTTAATTCTTAATCTGTTCTTCAAAAATTAAAAATTTGACATTATACCCTCAACTTACTAAAAAATTAGCAATATAATCAAAAGTTAAAAATTTATCTCCCTTTTTTATAAATATCTTTATTGTATTTGTCATATTATCTTATTTTTATACATAACTATTAGTGTAATATTAATATTCAATTCCAAATGTTCTCAATACAAATTTTGCACTCAATTTTTTTTTAAAATGAAACATATTTCCATCTTTTCTGTGGTTGAGGGTATAATATAAAAATCTCAATCTTTTAAGGTGTAACTGCAGAATATAAAAATTTTGGGGGGTCAAAATGTATTTGGCGCTGTGTGTTATATATATACAACCCATATATGATTTTTTTTTCTTGGTTTTTTTTTTTTTTATGTGTGGTGGATCTGAGTTGTGATGAGCTGGAAACCGTTGACCGAATGAACCGGTGGTTGATCTGTCCAGTTTCTCAAGAGGGTTTGGTTGGTGTCACCGGGAATTGCCGGGTTGAGGTGTGCGTAGTATTTTTTTGACTAATTTTTTTAAATAAAAATATGAAACATTAAAAACATATTTAATTACGATTTTATAAAAATAATTCAGATCTATTTTAATGTACAAATAATATAATTTATATAAATATAACTTTACGATTAAGCTTTAAAAAAAAATAAAAATTGACATGAAAAATACAAAAAAGAAGATTATTAAAAATAAAATTGAGATTGGGAGCATGGCAGCTGGCCCAGTAGCATGTTACATCATGTGGTACCAAGTACCACAGTATTATTATGTATTGTTTTGGGTTTTGGATGGCCCATATCTTTGAGAAGAATAATGTGCAATTGTTTTCCATTTATGGGCAAAGGATACATTTTTCCATAAGAATCCAAAGTTATTGACCAATCAAATTTTTTTATTATAATATGATTACTTAGTATCAATCTTTCATATTTCTAAGATTGACACAGTCATAATTTGACAACAATTGAATCACCATTTCACTTTCTCTAGCATGATATCGTAGACTTTTTCCCAATTGACATAACGAGACAGCAACATAAAGTCGCATATGCAAAATTTTATTTTTTTTTCATTTCATTTATTTGAACAAAACAATTAAGCAAGAGAGGTAAGTTTTGTAGAAATTTACTTTCTAAATTCATTTATTTAGAACAAAACATTTAAGCAAGGTATAAGTTTCCTATGTCTGCATCTCCACTTGAGCCTATCTCGGGTTATCTATACTAAAAATCTAATATTTTGATGCACACGTGAAATAATTTAATTGTGTATATCTAAAAAAAGTAATCGATAGCTTGAGACTCATTTATACCTCCCAATTAGTTTTTCAGGAGAAAAAAAAAACCAAGCATAATAATCCTTTGTATGATTGAGTATTTTGAAAAGAAATTTGTTAGAAGCCAAAACCAATAAAAAGAAAAAAGGAAAAAAAATTATAAGTAGACTTACCACTTAATCATATGGAAAACAAAGAGGCAAGATTAGAATCCAAAAGAAAAAATTTCTTTTGGAATCCTAATAAATAAATCAATAAGTTTATTAGGTATTAGGATTTTGTAATCTTTAGTTCTATAATTTTTCAAATGATAACAAGTAGGAAAACATCCGTTGCATGTATATATGTGCACTTGTGCAATATATTTATACTACTCTCAAATGTCAAGATATATAAAAAAAAAATTATTTGAACATTTTTATCCTCCAAAATTTTAAAAATACCAATATCACTATTGAAATTGAAATACCAAAGACTTGTGGCATTCGTCATATCAAATAGGTCATTAAAGTTTTTGGTAGCTATCATAACTCTAAGTCTCATCATCTTCCTCAAGTTTAACAAATTTCATTCCTGATATATAATAATTTGAAAGTCTTTATGCACCTTATCTTCTTCCTCATGGTATGATGCTTCATAGATAGGTAATATAAAAAGTGAGAGAGACCCTTGTGATTCAGTCCATACACTTCTCTCTCTCTCTCTCTTTCACACACACACACTATTTCTATTCTGACATTAGGTTGAATTGTATCAGTTACTATGCTGACTAGATTTTTATTTGATTTTGTTGCAAAATTACTACATTCTGAAAGTGGAATTGTTGAGACTGAGGTTGTTTTGGTTTTTTAATATTTTTGTGTATTGCAAATAGGCAACATCAAGAGAGACTCCCACTCAAATTTTAAAGGTTTTTTTAGGCAACGCTCCTAGGTTCTCTCTAGGGTTCTCCTAAGTTTCTATCTCAGTTTTTCTGGCCATTAGGTTTGAGTTCTCGGTCTTATGTTCCTCGTTATTTTTATAATCACATCTTTATAGTGGGTTAGGGCTTTTAAAGGTGCCATTTCCCTAATGAAAACCAGATGGTCTGGTTAGTCGTATTCGTATTGCGGGATTGGATTTTCTTTGTGGTGTTGTTTGCAATGATTCGGCCTCTTGAGTAAGTGTAATATGGAGCTATCCAGATCTTAATTTTTCCCTTCATTGATTTCCTCATTCACAAGCTTCTAAGTCTCACTGTCCTCTTTCATTACCTCACTTTTTGTGTATCTCAAATTCTAAAAGTTTCCCTTGCTGTTTGTCGCTTCTTTCTGCCTTGTTTTCTTTCTTGTTGTCTTGTCCTTTTCTCTCTCTTTTTCCCTTTTCTAGTTCTTTGAGTCTTAGCTATCTCTATTGATCCTTTCTGCTTCCTTTTCATCTTCTTGTTAAATTTTACCCATTTCGATGTCGATTGGTGCACAGGTGGAATCTCATGTCCATATCCACCCTCGTATTTCTCTCTTGTCTAACCTAGCTAGCTCAAAGGATGTTCAACAAGTATATATGGTGGGAAAAATTTTTCAGACATTGCTCTCAACAAGCAAGGTGTCTCTAGTGTCTTCCAGGCCTCATGGAAAATGATAAAAGGTTTTCCTATAACCTTTTGGGAAAAGAATACCTTCATGTTCATGTCCAAGGATGAGGAGGATAGAGATAAAATCTTTGAGGAGGGTCTATGGTCGGTTATGGGAGCATTGATCGTTTTGAAGAAATGTGTCCCACAGTGTTCACTGAGTGATTATGATTTCTACAAAACTGATATTTGGATTCAGATTGGGGGATTGCCTCTTGATATGATGACTAGAAGTAATGCCTGTAAGATTAGCAAGATAATTGGGGAGCCAACAAAGGTGGAAGAGGCAGGGGTGAACTTATGCTTCATAGGAATTTTTTGAGAGTCAGATGTGAAATTGATCTCAATGAATCTTTGATGAAAGGTTTCTTTCTCGCTCATGAAAATCAGGATGATTTATGGATACGCTTTAAATACAAGCAATTTTCTAATTCCTATTATGTTTGTTGGAGGATTGGTTATACTCAAAGTCATTGCAGCAGGAGAAGGATGGGCAACCAAGGTGAGTTTGGTCCTAAGTTGCGAGCACAGACTAATCAAAATGCTGGTTTCTATAGAGAAAATTGGTCCAAATTGAACAAGGTGCAAAGGAAAAATAGAGGTGGAAAGATCACAAAAAAATGGTAACTGGAGTTAATGAAAGAATACCGGAGCGTGAGCAAGTTCTGACTGCAAGGGGGGTTGCGTGGCAGGGACAAAGTGGAAGAGAACACTCTTGCAGGGAGTTAGAGTATGGCTCATGCAGTAGAGTGGTAAAAGTAGATAAGGAGATGACACGTGGAAAAGCTAAGCTTACTCTACTACAAGAAGACTATGACAACCCGGATCATGAATGTAGTAATAATCCATCCGAGGTGGGAGAATCAGATCTTATGGTCCTCAAAGGTTTAGGGCCCAATTTATAAGAGAAGGTGGGAGCTTGCCAAAGCCCAAATTTTTTTGGGCCAAATAATGTTCCCATTGTCTTTGGGAAGCAGTTGAATGAAAGAGGCCCAGGGTCTAATTGTTACTTTGTGATGGAACCATCGGAGAGCTAGTGGCTTTTGGAGACCCAGAAAAATGGGGCCCAACCTAATAGGGTAGAAGGCATTTGGACTCAGTTACTTAGATTGGGAGTTGACGTTGTTATAGTAGAGGAAAGACTACAAAAAAAATTTCAATCATTAGCAATAAANAGATTGGGAGTTGACGTTGTTATAGTAGAGGAAAGACTACAAAAAAAATTTCAATCATTAGCAATAAAAAGAACAGTGGAGACTTGGGCCCCAGTAAGAAGCAGAAGGGAGGGGAGGTCCTTACGCTAGAACAGAGAGTTCAGGTTGCATTCCAGAATTTGGAGGAGTCCCTCTCAGTGCAATCTCAGACAGTTAGAAGACATACAAAGCAGTCACAAAAAGGCAAATTGGTGCCCTAGGGGAGGTAAAGGGAGAAGGAACAGAAAATTGACCCATTCAGAAATCTTTTTTGCCTGTTTAGCTGAGCAAGAAGTTCAAGTGCCATAAGTGATTCAGGATTAACAAGGTGAGAATAACCTTAATTTTTGTTTTGCCCAGCGGATTTCAACGGTCCCAAGCATTCCCATTAAGAATGGTAGATATGATATAGATTCGAAAAGGGCAGTGTTGGCTGGCCTTCAACAGCCACAGTCTCCATGTTAGTTCTTGCATGGAACTGTCAGGAAGTGGGACAACTCCGAATAGTTTGTAATTTGAGAGGGTTAGTTAATACTCATCGTCCAACAATAGTCTTTCTCATGGAGATTAAGAACGGATCATAGAAACTGGGAAAGCTAAGGAGGANTGCATGGAACTGTCAGGAAGTGGGACAACTCCGGATAGTTTGTAATTTGAGAGGGTTAGTTAATACTCATTGTCCAGCAATAGTCTTTCTCATGGAGATTAAGAACGGATCATAGAAACTGGGAAAGCTAAGGAGGAGTCTGAACTTCCCAAATGGTGATTACGTTGAACCAAGGGGAGTTGCTGGTGGTTTGTCTTTATGGTGGAAGGATGAAATAAAG